GTGTGTGTGTGAGTGAGTGTGTGTGTGTGTGTGTGTGTGTGTGTAGCCACAGTTTTCTGCTCTGTTGCAGATATTCCTTAGGCAGCTTTCAGGATGATTCTGATTCCTGACATGCTGTTTTACAGGCATTAAGTCAACATTGACGCTTCCTGTTTGTAACAGAGACTTTGGGACTAGTTGAAGAAGATATGATTAGATATAATAGAAGGGTAAAGTGCGTATTTATCTGCTCGCTCACATTTATACTTAAATAACTGTCATCACATCACATCATCACGTCATATCACAATACAACACAGCGCAACATAACATCAGCAACAAGAGCCAAACACAGCTCTTTACCACATGCTTTCCACTTGCATTCACTGGCCCTTAAGTATGTTCTTGTGAGCTGGGTCCTGTGCATCCCCATTTTACAGATTAGAACCCTGAGGCTAGGCGGTCATGCAAGCTGTTGATTAGGATTCTATTTGGTTCTGAAGTTCTGAGTCTTTCAGTGTTACCACATGGCCTTCATCTCATTATGTAAATCACTCTACCCCGATCAAGAGATTCAAGATCTTCGGTTTTTTAAGGTTAATTTTCAGCTTTGTTTTGGAAAAGTGATTTTGTAGTTAAGCCAAACTTGATTATACATATATTTTAAAAACTACTCTGATAACTTTAAAATTTGTACGCCCTTTTTCTGTATCATTAAAACCTTGTCAGTCTTATTATAGGAAAATGGGAATTGTGGAATTGACTATAAACTTTACACCACTTTTTTGTTGTTGTTGTTCTGGAGTGTGGGATTTGTATGAAAAGGAGGGAAATAATGAGTTTCTTGTTTTATTTTTAAAAAGATTTATTATTTATGCTTACAGAACTGGGGGACAGGTCAGAGGTTGGTGAGTGAGAGGATTCACCAGAGACAGAGTGGGGAGCAGAACAGGCAGATTGACAAAGTACACTGCTGAGGGGAGCAGCAGGCAGGTCAGAGGAGGTCTGCCGCGCCATGTGGCTTCATAATGTGAACTCGTTACACCACAGGGAGAGCCCTCTTTTTTTTTTTAATTTATTTACTTATGTATACAAGAACTGGGGTATAGGCTACATGTGTGGAGGGTGAGAGGAGTCACCAGAGACTGAGTGGGGAGCAGAATATGCAAATAGGCTGAGGGGCGCAGTGAGTGAGACAAGAGAGGTCTGCTGCGCCATGTGGGTCAGCCCCTGGCCAGGGATCGAACTTGTGCTGCAGTGGCTGCAGATAGCTTCACAGTACTATGCTTCATAGTACTCCCTGCTGCCACCAGGGAGACTGAGTTTCTTAGTTTTTAATAGATACTCTCAGTTTTTGTGTTGAACATGATAACTACCGAATCAGGCTAAAATTTTGCTTACAAGAGGCAACAGAAAGTTTTATCTATAATCATTCAAAAATAAAGCCCTGATTCATCCCACACAGCTGGCTTTGACGGCTGGCAGCAGTATGCCGTGGCAGGGGTGAGCTGGAAGCTTTCTGAGCCTCTCAGCGTGGGCTTCGCGGCTCCCCAGATGGACTCCGGAGCCTCACATTCTTCATTAGCTGTGGATCATCGTAGCTCATGACCTCTGCTAATAGGACTGTTTTAAACTCCAGGATGGAGATAATCTCATTTAGCACCCAGACTAAAGGTACAGACGCTCATACTTTCTTCTGTTTCCTTTTGCTTCCACAGATGAACACAATGACGTGCAGAAGAAAACGTTTACCAAATGGATAAACGCTCGATTTTCAAAGGTAACGGAAATTTCGAAAACTTGATGATGATACACATACCTCATGCTGACGGATGGAGTTTGGTTGAAAGTGCAGTGCAACTTCCCATGAAATGTGATCAACAAAAATCTGAGTGTGCCCATGCGTTTATTTTTCCTTTATTTTGTCATAAAAATGTTTTCAAAGGGAAGTTCTGGCATAAACAGCTCATGGTGTAAACACACTTGTGGTGTAAACATCTCTTTACTTTACCTGGCACTCCCCAATTATTTGCTGCTTTTGACTCTGTGAATATTGGGTACTTTTAAGAAATGACGATGTCATGGGGGAAATTTTAAATTCATGTAGTTTAAAAGATAATGATTTAATTTTGTTTGGTTAAAATCATATTGTTAACATTCAGGCAGTATTTCTACCCCATACAAAAAAACCTCTAGATATTTTCATATTTGTAGATGCTACTAATAATACCTGTATTTTTTTCTTATGTACTTCTTCATTTCCAAAGATCTTTCTTTCTCATCATTTCTAACCACTTGGAACCTCATCAATATTTTAATCAATTTGTGTTTTTTTTTAGAGGGAGAGCAATCAGGAGAGGAATTGGCAGTGCTATTTTCAAACTTCAGGTTCTTATTTAATTGTCCATTGGTTACTGAAGTAGACTGCTGTTTTCTGAAGTCAGAGGTGGGAGAAGAATTTTCAGGTTAATCGATTATAGGACTGTACTGTCTAGCAAGAAGGAAAAAGGTTTCTTAGAGAAACACCGTCATGATCTTTTCCACAGCAAATATTAATTGAGTTATTTTTCAAAATTTTTATGTGTGAGGGTTACAAAGGTCAGAAAAACAAGCGCTAGTATTTCTTTGAGGTAAGAGAAGAATGTTTTAGGATTACTTGAGCAGCAGGACAGTTTAAAATTTGTTCCACACCCTAATATTTAGTTGAGGAATTTTTTTTTTTTTTTATCTTGCCTCTGAGAATGTTAGGAATGTGAAAATCTAACTGACAGAAGGGCTGAGAATACAGATGTGCTTGCATAATTGGTGATTTTATGTTCAGGTTCATTTGAAAGCAGACATAGGTGTTTTTTTTTTTTTTTTTTTTTTTTTGATGAATGCTAGTGTGCGTTGTTCTAGGGGTTGTGTGTTTTGGAGCTGACTTTAAACTTGGGCAGTTTACAACCATGTGTGACCAGGTACTAGACATAGTGGTTTTAGTGAGTGAAAGATCCTTTGAAGAAGTGATGTTCTATTTTAGTGGCCTCATGAGTATTCAGGTGTGTGAGCTTACCTGTAGCAACCCTCAGTAAAGAAGTGCAGTCATTTTCTAGTTGAAAGCAGATTAAGCAGGTTTAGTTTTTAGCAGCTTAACTTGGTGTTTGGAGGAAGATAGGCCTCAGCTCTGATTTTGAAGTTCATTTTGTATGTGCTTTAGTATGCACGTATACATCTCAGATGTACATCTAGAGAGGGGTGAACCTGTACCCCTAAAGCATGTACAGTACAGTATACCAGAGTTCCCTCCATGAAAATGATGTAATTAAAAAAGAAAAAGAAAAGAAAAAATTCTGTTTCATAAAAACAATCTCTGGTCCTCTCTGGTGGTGCAGCAGGTTAAAGCACAGCACTAAGAAGCTAAAGCCACTTCAGCATGAGTTTGATCCCCGCCCTGGAGGTGACCCACATGGCATAGCAGACCTCTCCTGCCCCGCCTGCTCCTCCCCTCAGCAGTGTACTTCACTGAGCTGCCTGTTCTGCTCCCCA